CAATAGCAGAGGCAGCTTGCTGCAGGAGAACCTTATGGGTCTTAGAAGCACATGGGTTCTAAGTGTTTTTGGACTGTCACACGTGGCAACCCATGAAACAAATGGCCATTAGTCCTATACAGCTCCTTTCCATTCTTTCATAATAGTGGCAAAGTCAGTCAGTCAGTCAATATAGTTATTAAAATCCCTACTATGTGTCAGGTACTGTGTTAAGCACTTGGGATATAAAAAAATTTAAAGATGGCCTCTGTTCTCCAGGAGCTTATGAAGTGGTATAAAAGGGGGGGAGAATGTTCTAAGAAAGTTTTTCAACTATCTATAGACAAAGGGAAGGACAGGTAGGCATTGAAGCAGCTAGAACACTGAGCTTGGAGTCAGGAAGACTTATCTTCCTGAGTTCAAATCTGCCTTAGACACTAGCTGTGTGGCCCTAAGCAAGTCACTTAACTCTGTTTGATTCAGTTTCCTTATCTGTAAAATGAGTGGGAGAAGGAAATGGCAAACCATTCTAGTATCTTTGCCAAGAAAACTCCAAATGGGGTTATGAAGAACTGGACAAAACTGAAAATGACCTAACGACAAAATAGACAGAGAAAGGATAAAGTCAGGAAGTCTGGACTTGGAGTCAGGAGAAAAATGGGTTTGAATTCTAACTTTGGCATTATCTTATGACTGTGATTACTTTACCCCTCTGGGCCTATTTCTTTATCTGTTAAACAGGGCTATTAATACTTGTTGTACTTTGCTTATAAAGTATTTTTGGAGATTCAAATGAGATAAGACATGTAGGCATTCTGCAAACCCTAAAGCAAATGTCAGTTACATGTTGGCATTCTAAATATGAGATGGTAAATATAAGATTGGTCTAATGACCAATGAATTGACATACTGCTGGAGGAATTAAATTATATCAATACTGAAATTCTTACTGTAAATGAAATCTGATGACAAAAGGAAGTTGAATCTAATTGGAAGGATGACTTATGATTTCTCCTTGGTGAGGCAAATTGAGGAATAGGTGGAGTTGATTTCATCATGCATGCAAAGGCAACAAGAAGCATCATTTCATGGGACACTTTGTTGTCTTTTATCACAAAACTCATGATGGGGGACAGAGCCAAGATGGCGGAATAAAAGCAGTGACTTGCTTGAGCTCTCCCCCAAGCCTCTCCAAATACCTGTAAAAATGGCTCTAAACAAATTCTAGAGCAGCACAACCCACAAAAGACTAAGTGAAACACATTTCCAGCACAAGACAACCTGAATGGTTGATGGGAAAGGCCTGTTGTGCTAGGCTGAGAGAGGAGCACAGTTCAGCACGGGCCACACAGGCAAAGACAGGGCCAGAACAAATCTGGAGCAGGCCTCAGAGACTGAATCATGGGCAACTGTGGTTTCCAGACTTCTCAACCCACAAATGCCAAAGACAGCTTAGAAGGTCAGTAGGAAAGGTCTGTTGGACCTCAGTGAGAGAGGAGCATGGTCTGGCCCTAGTCCTGGCACAGCCCTGGGGCGGTGGCTGCTTCCAGAGCTCTTGGCCCACAGCCAGTGTGGGTATCAAGTGGCTGATCAGAGGGGCATTGCAGGGATCTCTTTGCTGGTACTGAGGTAGGATTCTCTTGCTTTGCCCATGCTTGGATCTGGGTCACAGTTCTGGGTGGCAGTCCTAGGGCGAGGAGGAGCACTGGCACAGCAGAGCTTGTAGCAGCAGTGGAGAGGGAATCCTCCTCACAGTTCCAAGACAGAAAAGAGTGTTTGTGGTCATTCATAGACCAGATCACAGGCCAGGAAAGGAGTAAACACCTCACCCTTGATCATACTACCTTGGAAGAATGAAAATTTACAGGTCCCTAGAAGTATCTCTAAAAATAGCTGCACAAAACCTACAAAGCTTGGGACAGTACATTCTTCATACTGGAAGCAGACTCCTACCTTAACAAAGAGTTTAAAAGTCAAATAATTGGCTGGGAACGTGAGCAAACAGCGGTGACAAAGAAGATCAAAACATATAACCAGAAGAAGACAACAAAGTCAAACCTCCTACATCCAAAGTCTCCAAGAAAAATATGAATCAGTCCCAGGCCATGGAAGAGCTCAAAAAGGATTTTGAAAACCAAGTAAGAGAAGTAGAGGAAAAACTGAGAATAGAAATGAGAGAAATGCAAGAAAATCATGAAAAACGAGTCAACAGCTTGCTAAAGTAAAATACTGAAGAAAATAACACCTTAAAAATAGACTTGGGGGCAGCTGGGTGGTACAGTGGATAGAGCACCGGCCCTGGAGTCAGGAGGACCTGAGTTCAAATCCGGCCTCAGACCAAACACTTGACACACTTAGTAGCTGTGTGACCCTGGGCAAGTCACTTAACCCCAACTGCCCCCCCCCAAAAAACCAAAAACCCAATAGTATTAAAAAAATAGACTTGGGGCAGCTAGGCGGCACAGTGGATAGAGCTCTGGCCTTGGAGTCAGGAGGACCTGAGTTCAAATCTGGCCTCACACATGACACTTACTAGCTGGGTAACCCTGGGCAAGTCACTTAACCCTGATTGCCTCACCAAAAAAAAATAATAATAATAAAAAAAATAGATTAACCCAAATAGCAAAAGAGATCCAAAAAGCCAATGAGGAGAAGAATGCCTTTTTAAGCAGAATTGGCCAAATGGAAAAGGAAGTCCAAAAGCTCACTGGAGAAAATACTTCCTTAAAAATTAGAATGGAACAAATGAAAGCTAATAACTCTATGAGAAATCAAGACATTGTAAAACAAAACCAAAAGAATGAAAAAATAGAAGACAATGTGAAATATCTCATTGGAAAAACAACTGACCTGGAAAATAGATCCAGGAGAAATAATTTAAAAATTATTGGACTATCTGAAAACCATGACCAAAAAAAGAGCCTAGACATCATCTTTCAAGAAATTACCAAGGAAAACTGCCCTGATATTCTAGAACCAGAGGGCAAAATAGATATTGGAAGAATCCACTGATCACCTCCTGAAAGAGATCCCCAAAGGAAAACTCCTAGAAATATTATAGCCAAATTCTAGAGTTCCCAGGTCAAGGAGAGAATAGTGCAAGCAGTCAGAAAGAAACAATTCAAATATTGTGGAAACACAATCAGCATAACACAAGATTCAGCAGCTTCTTCACTAAGGGATAGGAGGCGCTGGAATATGATATTCAGAGGGCAAAGGAGATAGGATTACAACCGAGAATCACCTACTCAACAAAACTAAATATAATCCTTCAGGGGAAATATGGTTATTCAGTGAAATAGAGGATTTTCAAGCATTCTTGATGAAAAAACTAGAACTGAATAGAAAATTTGACTTTCAAATAAAAGACTCAAGAGAAGCATGAAGGACAGCTAGGTGGCACAGTGGATAGAGCTCCAGCCTTGGAGTCAGGTGGACCTGAGTTCAAATCTGGCCTCAGATGCTTAACACTTACTAGCCGTGTGACCTTGAGCAAGTCACTTAACCCTAATCACCTCACCAAAAAGTTAAAAAAAAAAAAAGAGAGAAGCATGAAAAGGTAAACAGGAAAGAGAAATCATAAGAGACTTATTAAAGTTGAACTGTTTACATTCCTGCATGGAAAGATGATATTTGTAACTCATGACACCTTTCTCAGTATTAGAGTAGTTGGAGGGGGAAAATGTATGTATATAGATAGAGGGCACAGGGTGAATTGAAGATGAAGGGGTGATATCTAAAAAATAAAATTAAGGGGTGAGAGAGGATTATATTAGGAGGAGAAAGGGAGAGGTAGAATGGGGTAAATTATCTCACATAAAATAGACAAGAAAAAGCTTTTACCATGGAGGAAAAGTGGTGGAAGGTGAGAGGGAATGAGTGAATCTTACTCTCATAGGATTTGGCTTAAGGAGGAAATAGCATACACACTCAATTGGGTATGGAAGTCTATCTTACCCTACCAGAAAATAGGGGGAAAGGGGATAAGGGGTGGGGGGAATGATAGAAGGGAGTGAAGATTGGGGGAGGGGATCAGAAGCAAACACTTTTGAAGAGGGGCAGGGTCAAAGGAGAGAATAAGTGGGGGATAGGATAGGATGAAGAGAAATATAGTTTTTCATAACATGACTATTATGGAAGTGTTTTGCATGACTACACATGCATAACCTGTATCGAGTTGCTTGCCTTCTCAATGAAGGTGGGTGGGGAGGGAGGAAAGGAGAGAATTTGGAACCTAAAGTTTTAAAAACAAATGTTAAAAATTTGTTTTTACATGCAACTGGGAAATAAGATATACAGGCAATGGGGTATAGAAATCTATCCTGCCCTACAGGAAAATAGAGGGGGAAGGGGATAAGAGAAGGGGAGAGGAGAGATATAAGGGAGGGCAGATTAGGGAAGGGGCATTCAGAATGCACACCATCTTGGGTGGGGGGAGGGATGAGATGGGGAGAAAATCTGGAACTCAAAATCTTGTGGAAGTGAATGTTGAAAACTAAAAATAAGTTAAAAACACAATACTCATGATGGGCATTTGCAAAATGACCACCATGAATATAATTGAAGCTGGCTGTACCTGCGTAACCTTGGGGAAGTCACTTGACCTCGCTGGGCCTCAGTTTCCTCACCTGTAAAATGAGAGTATTGGATTAGATGGCCTCTAAAATTCCTTTCAGCTCTACATCTATGATTACCCCCATTTTATAGATGGGTAAAGAGGCCCTGAGTCAGGAAGTAACTTGTCAAATGTCACAGCTAATAGACTAAATATAATCTCTATAGTCTACTTTTAGTTTTTAAAGTATGACTCTAATAGGCAGGGGATGTGGAATGTTTTCTGACTTAAAGTCCATTGAAATATTTATTTCCCAAACCAATCCTCTCAAATCTTATTTACTCCCCCAACCCCGCCCATGACCCAGCTACCTTAAAAACAGAATTCAAATAGAGCAGATAGAGGTTTTTTCCTTATTGCACACTTCACCTTATTTAATGAAAGGAAAAAAAAGACAATCAAGAAAGTTTATTCAGGGAACTTTATTTGATAAAATGTTACAAAAGTCAGTGTGAATTTGTTGGCTCTTGCCATTTTTAACAGGGATGATTCTTCAGTGGAGACATGGAGAAAGTTTTCATTTGGATGTTCCGTAAAACAAAGTGTAAAATGGAATAAAACTGTTGCCCATGAGTGCTGCTTTGTCAAGGCCAGCAGTTACATAGGAAAATGTCAAGTTATCCCAGGTTTAGTGCACAACACGCAGCACTGAGTTTTATGTCTAAACAGAAGATTGAGGTGTCTCCAGAAAGACCCTTAAAAACAAATAGTTTAGGGAAAAACAGCTTAAGTTATGATTAAGATACTTTGGGGAGATACCTTTAGGTTTTCCCTCATCTTTTAGTTAGAACATATTTTAAACCTACTATGTACAATATTTTAACATATTCCAAACAAGCATTATAGCATTTAAGCAGACATCTCCACAGGGACATTATTCTGGCTTAGCCACAGTATGTCACCTGAAAATAAAGAAAAGAACTAAGCAGAACAGGCTGACACTGAAAAATATTCACATTTTGGGACATCTAGTCACAGCTGGAACCTTTCCTAAAAATGTTCATTTCTACTAGTCATCAACAAAAGGTCAACAAATGAGTCAAGACATTGGGGAGCCATCGAAGAGCTGGTTTTTTCCCTCAGCCATCTGTGATCTTTAATGTCATGCTGCTACCATGGAATGAGCCCCAAAAGCAGGCCACCAAAGCCTGCATCTCCAACAGCTACCTGAGAGCAGGGGGCTGGTAACTTTGATAAAGAAATATATGGCATCCCTAAGCTTTAAATTGGCAGTGCATTCCTTATCAAGGATTTGCCTGGGTATTTATTTGTTGACTAGAAAACTAAAGCAAAATTTGTAGAAGAAGCCTTCATTTGCTAGTGGCAAGTTGGGGGGTGGCCAGAAAATAGTACATTTAAAAATGGAGAGCAAGCTCATCAAAGAAAAGTCTTGATTTTTACCCATGACTAATTCATTTGCAAACTGGTAACCATAGGAAAATACAGCTGAGAATTTCTAGTTTATCACCTCAAAGATGTCTATGATTTCCAGTTCCCAGTACCAAATCAGTAGCAAAATGTAAGATTTTCCTCAAAGATAAAAAGTATTTTTCTTTAGCAAACATCACTATTAAAAAATTTCATTTTTAGATTCCGGGCAGTAAAAAGTTTTTTCTTTCTTGGAATTGTTATGTATTGCATATTTCCACTGGAAGGAGTCTTCTTCAAAAACAAGTTGTACATAAACAGGCTGCTGTGTCGGGGAGCTGAGGATCCAGAGAGCTAAAAATGGAGGAAAGGAAGGGTAGTGAGCAAAATAAAGGAAGTTAGAAACAAGGATTCAAAATTACAATGCTGATCAACATCTTTCAAGTTAACATCATGCAGGGCCATGTCTACTGAGGCCTGAGTCAGCTTTTTTTTCTGATTGTGCTAGATTCCTATTTTCCTTTGGAGATAGATTCCCATTTTGAAAATTGAGGGGGGTGGGGGGGAAATGAACAAAGGGGAGAAGTTGGACTAGATGACCTTTTTTTGAGGCAGTATTTTATAATCAGTAGCCAACATAATTGACCATAAGTCTTTATTATCTTACAAATCTACAAATTAAAAGATTGGGTCCTTTCTTCCCCTATATCCTACTCTTCTCACCTGGACTTCAGGCCTCGATGCCACTAATCACTGCTAGGCTGGCTGAGGCTGTGGAAGGCAGAAGTACACAGTAGAGAACTGATATATTTTACCAGTCTATTATTTGAGCTGGAAAGAACTGTGTTAAGGTCTCTACTTCTTTTGGGGCTTTTCAAGGTGAGCCACTCTCTGCCACTTGAGGAAATTTCACTCATTGTGAATGGCACTGCCACTACCAGTCTTGCTCTTTAAAGTCACTTAATTCACTTTTGATTCATCATTAAACTTCATCTAGCATAGGGGTTAAGTGAAGGGAAAGAGAAAGACTCCAACTGAAGAAGGAAGAGAAAGAATTATGAAGAATTCCAGAGATTGAAATTTGAGAGGAATGGAAAAGAATAAGAATAATCTGAGTTGAAGGACTCTGGCTGAATAAAGATGAAACAAAGAATGACTTAAACTGGAGAAGGACTTGAGCTATAGGAAAAGGAGGGCAAAGGACAAGGAAGAGAGGAGATGGAAAGGGAAGTTGGTAAGTCAAAGGCAAAGAAGGTGGGTGGGCCTGTCAAGATGTTAAGGAGAGGAGAGTTAACAACTCTGGAGGAAGATCTCCACAGGTAGCTGCAATAAATCTGCCAGTCAGGAAGCCAAAGGACTGAGAATCTTACTTTGTGAAAGTATAGAAAAATCAGGACACAGTGACCCGTATGGAACTTGTGATTGGTATTCATTACTCTGCCATGCCAAGTAACTTATCTGCTCCTAATCAGATGCCATGCATTTCAGGCATGGGCGGCAGTCTATCTCAAGGCCGAGATACAGGAGAGAGAATACTGAATTTAGGCAACAGTTCATAGGATAGTTTGACTGGAACAGCGTGTGTGAAGAGGAGAGATGTGAGATAAGGTCAGGGTTAAGATTTTGGAACACTTGAAATGCCAGGTAGGAGTATGTACTTTATCCTACAGGCAGGTGACTAACCTGGCCAGACTGGTGCCTTACTAACAATTACTTTGGCAGTTGTGCGGAGGAAGCATTGCAGAGGGGAGAAACTGGAAGAAGAAAACACAGTGAGAAGGCAACTATAATAGTCTGAGCCAATAAGGACTCAAACTAGGGTACTGACTGTGTAGGTGAGAAGAAAGGGATGGTTGTGAGAAACGTAGAATTTGCAAGAATTAACAAGGCAAGTGATTAGATATGGAAGTGTGGGGAAAAGGAAAGAGTGAAGAGGATGATTGAGATTGTGATCCTGGGATAGTGTCCTTGACAGAAATAGGGAAGCTTGCAGGAAGGGTGTGAGTGTTCTGTTTGGACATGGTGACTCTGAGATGACAATGAGACATCCAGTTACAGATTGTCTAGCATGTAGTTGACAGTTTAGAATACATAAAGGTGGCTTGTTTGGATTTGAGAGTCATCTGTTTAAGATGACAAATGAAACCATGGGATTAGATGAAATCATCAAGAAGAGAGAAAGAGGACCTAGACTATAACCTGGGAACACCTCTGTTTAGGGGATGAAATGATGATCCAACGAAGGAGAAGGAGGAATGGTGAGAAGGCAGTGTCACTGAAGCAAAGGGAGGATAAATTATCCAAGTGGAAGGGAAAAATATCAGTGTCAAATGCTGAAGAGAGGTCAAGTAAGATAAGGAGTTAGAAAAGGCAATTGTTTTTAAAAGTTAATAGATTGTTGTCAATAACCTTGGAGAAGGCATATTTACTCAAGCGACTGGGTCAGTAGCCTGGGTGTGTTGAGAGAGTGGAAGGTGAGCAAGTGAAGGTTACCAAGACTTTTTTTTTTTTTTAAAGGAAATTTGCCTGTGAAAGGGAAAAGATGACAGTTTGGAGGGGATAGCAGGGTTTAATGAAAGGTTTTTTTTAAAGGGTTTGTGGAGACCTAGACATGTTTATAAGGAGCAGGCATATAAACCTTAACATCAAGAATGACTGAAGATGAGAGAAAGGGAATGATCAAAAAGTGTAAGTTCCTGGAGAAATAGAATCAAGGGCATAAGTAGCGGGGTTGGCTTTGGTAAGAAGGACCACTTCTTTCTTGAAAGACTGAAGCACAGGAGGAGAGTAGGGAGTATTCACAGAAGATTGCCTTGATTTTCTCAGTAAAGTTAGAGGTCAAGTCTTTTGCTCAAACCTTCTTTCTCAGAGGAGAAAGAGGTTATGGTGTGTATTTGTGGTGGGTGTTGAGGTGGGGAGGAAGTGTAGGGGTTGAAGAAATAAGAGAAAGTTTGGAATAGCACCTGCTTCAGGTAGTATAACAGATGAGACAGTACAGATCATATAGTCAGATCTCCTGACCAATTCTCACAAATGGTGAATACTTTCAGCAACAGCAAACTCACTATTTCACAAGTTGGCCAACCATACTATCAGACAGCTGTTAGGATGTTTGTCTTTATACTGAGGCAAGATCTTTCCTTCTTCCCTACTCTTCCACTGCTCTTACTTCTACCCTTTAGTGCCAGAAAGAAGGGGTTTATAGGCTTCCCTTATAGCATACTAGTAAGCTCAGTCTGTCTTCGCTGTTACTGATATAGAGGGTTTAGGAAAGGGGTAGGCATTAGTGAGAAGTAACAGTTGTATGAGGGAGGAAGTTGAGCTAAGTCTGGCAGAGCATAAAGAAGCAACCATTAGGCAATTCAGGTGTACTTTAAGGCCATGCTACCATGAGAAGAAAAGTGATGTATAGAAGATTGGAGTCATGAGCTTAGCAGGTGGAAAAAGGGCATAGGGGGCTTTGGTGGTCACTGGCAATCCAGCTAGCATAAACAGAATATTTAACACCACCTACACCTATCAGTAATCAGTAAAGGCTCATTCGTAGTCAATAGGGTGCAGCCAATTTAAAGCTAAAAGTAAAGCAGATTCCTTTTATTACATTTTTGTAGCCAAGCAATGCAGACTGTTGCCATGAATAGAATTGCAAAAACTTACGGTGTGTAGTGGGGTGTAAATGCTCAGGGTTCACTCTTCCATGAAACACAGACAAAAGGGCAAAATGGAGCAAATAAAGCATCAGTATCACAGGAATTAGATTTGGAAAGTACCATCAGAGAATGTATCACTATCATTTTGTAGATCAAGAAAAGAAAGCCTTGAGAAGGCAACTAGCTTGTCCACAGTCACAAAGTGGTATTTGAAACTAGGGCACCTGATTCTATACTCGGGGTTCCTTTGAGTGCTAAGGAATTTGGTATAGTGGGAAAAGGCTTGCATTCTGGATATATGGGTTGAAATATCAGCATCAAAGTCATGTGACTTTGGGCAAGCCACTTTGTTTCTGAGTCTCTTGTTTCCTCATCTGTAAAGTAGGGTTAACACTGGTCCTAAGACTACTAGTCTTGGGTTGTTGTGGGGAAAGTGCTTGTAAACCTTAGGAGGTGAGTTACTATTATTAGTATTACTGTTACCTAGTTAAATCTTGCCTGTTTCAGGGAAATATTTAGGAGAAGTTTTATGGAAAAGGATGTGTATCGAACTATACCTTGGCATGATAATTTGCCCAAGGATTTGCCTAAGCTCTGCCAAAGGTCTGTTTAATATTTTCTTTAGCTTTGAGACTAAAATGCACTATCTCTCAGAGCTTCACAATGACTCAAAGAAAAATACTGTAAAGTACTCAAACACTAAATAAACAGGTATTATATAAATATGGAATAAATTATATACATTTCCTTGGGTTGTCTTCTTTGATTCTGGAGACGACTAAGTCAGGCTGAATGATTTTGATCTTTTCAAGGTAACAAGAATCCTGTACTTTTTTTTTTAATTTCTTTGGCTTTTTCCGGGGGCGGGGCAAAGGGGGAGAAGTGGAGAAGTGGAAGTTATTTAAGTATTTGTAGTTTATATAGTTTAAGTAATATAATTGTATTAATACAAGTCCCTCTACTCTTGCTTAAGCAAGACTTCTTTGATTGTCTTAGATAAAACTGAGATCAGAAGTTCAGAAATTGGAACCAATAAGCTCTATGCAGAGGGTACAGGATGCAAATTTATCCATGTTTGGGGCAGTAGACATTATGGCACCCAGCATGACGATAGGCCTTGGGAACTCTAATTAAATATTAATTCTGAAAAATTATGTCATTCAATCTGGGATTAGATATTTTCTTTTTTAATTGTATAGAAGACTCTTTAATATTCAGTTGATTGGATAATGGAACAGTGCATTTGTTATGCCTATAATACCTTTAAGTGGGAAAACCATAGTCATCTGTCTTGGATAGTTTGGATACAGATAACCTCATTCTTTCTAGTTCCATAATTCTACGAATTCTGGTTTGAGAAAATGAGTAATTTACCATAAACATAGTTCTAATTACCTTACTCTGATGTGTTATTTGAATATTTATATTATCTTTCTCCTTAAAAATACACTGTTATGGTTTAGTATAAATACAGGATGAAAGGCAAAGAGGAGAGTTGAGTGCCAGGAAACCTGAACATAGTGGTAGTGGTGGAAGGGTCTGGGGGGAGGGTAAGTAACTCATTCGGGGAGACAGATCTGTGAAACCAAGGATTCTCAGGAAGGTCAAAGGCTTGATGCCTCAGGTTGAGTTCAATATTCAGGGAAGGTTTAGTAAGTAATGAATGGTGAAAGCCGTGAGAAACGGCAAGGTCCCCTATATTAGTTCTAAGAGGATCTGGTATCCTAGGAAACTAATTGAAGATCAACGAGGTTTAAAATCCAGGGTTAGATCCTTATACTCACCACATGTTATTGGGAGAGGGAGATTAAGTTTGCTCCTTGTGCCCCACCCCTCCAGGACTAATGAGCAAGAAGTTATGGGAAGAAACTAGTATTGCCCTTGGACACCACGTGTCTCTGCTTGGCAAGAGGATTAACTATTTGCTGCCTAAGGTATTGTGAGGTTCTTTTTGTCTCCTCACTGTGGTGACTATTTTGCAATGGTTAAACTTCCTTGAGAAGAAATGACAAAATCTTTAATTTTGTCCATTTACCAAATCAATGGCTTATTTAAACAGATTGGGTTAGAGCTGCTAATCATAAATAGGATTACTAATTACACAATATCTTCTCACTTTAACCCTTTCTTCAAGTTTGGCTTTTCATTTTGGCCATTTTCTAACCAGTTGATGAACTGACTGTAGAGACAGTGAATTCCCAGAACAGCTTCTTTGTGAGATAATTGTGTAAAAGACACCATTGAGAATACCTATGGCTAGAAAAGGTGGTGGATCACATGGTAGGATTAATAGACAATAGATGGGCAGCTCAAGTGGCACATTCATATCCATAGAGCAGAATCACAACTAGGAATTAGTGTTCAAGAGTAAACTCAGTGTAGATTAGGGGTGATGGAAAAGGTAGAGTGGACAGACTGCCCTGGTGGGGGCAGAAGGGGAAGAGAAGCCCATGAAGTCCTATAGTTACACTGGTCAGTTGTTCTTGGTAGGGGTTGGAGGGTAGAGGGAGAGGGAAAGAGACATAAGAGAGATAGAGAGAAACAGAGACAGAGGCAGAGAAAGAGAGTAGGAGGAAAGCATGGGGGGGGGGGCGGAGAATGGGCACATGAGTCCAAGGAGAGGGGTGGAACCTCATGGTGTAATTCTTCCGGGGAAGGAGGAAGAGGTAACTTGCCTTAGTGGTGACAGAGGATGCACAGAAAACATGACACCCTAGCTGGATATAGTGCTGCTGGGCAATTCTTGGGAAGAGGGGTCAACGGAAAAAGTGAGATTTTTTTGGGGTGGTTAATTCTGTGTGGGTTTTTTTTTTTTTTTTTTTTGGGCAATTGGTGTTAAGTGACTTGCCCAGGGTCACACAGCTAGTAAGTATCAAGTGTTTGATCTGAGGCCGGATTTGAACTCAGGTCCTCCTGACTTCAGGGCTGGTGCTCTATCTACTGCACCACCTAGCTGCCCCTTTGGTGATTAATTCTGGTTCAGGGGGTTGTAGTTCACCTTTATGGTGTACTTGCAACAGGCACCCCTAGGGAGGAGGTGTGGCATGCTGGAAGATAGCAGGCTGGGAGCACGGCAGTAGGAAAGGGTCATCATGGAAGAAGGAAAGCTCTAGGAAAAGAGGATGGGATCCTTGTGGCACTGCACAGTCTACAGTGAACCTCAAGGCACTGGGAACAGTAAGTGGGAAAGAACTCTATCCCCATTTTGAGGCCCTGGGTCAAAAGCCTTGATTACCCCATTCCAGTTATGGGTTCTGCCCTTGAAAATCTGAAAATAATAAAAGGACAGTGTGCCACTTAAAAAAGGCTTTATGAAGGACATGAGATAACATGGACAAAAATTGCACAGGATGAAAGCACATGGAAGGACAGTGATCTGTGTCAAAGAAATATTCATAGTGAGCAAATTACTGCTCCAAGAAAGACCCTCCTAAAAATCAAAGCTGTCCCTCAATGGAATGGTCTGTCAGATGATGAATTTCAAGGCACTGAAAGTTTACACAGAGGCTGGGTGACTACTAGCTGAAGATATTGTAGCAGGAATTCTTGTGTCAAGTTGGAATAGATGACCATTAAAGTCCCTTTCAACTCTGAAGTTTAATAATTCTATGACTCTTACCTTGGTTTGAATTAGTGCCTTGCAATTATTAAGATTAAAGCCATTTACTTCTGTTAACTCTTCAGTCTCTTTCAGGTTAGAATCTTCCAGAACGTGATTCTTACCTCCTGAAAGATCCTAAGAAAATAAAAAGTCATCAAACAGCTAATCAGAAACTTGAATTGTATGTCTGCTTTATTAATAATATAGTAGAAATTTTTGTAACACTTTAAGGTTCACAAAGTGCTTTATAGTCATTATCTCATTTGAACCTCACAACTCTGAGGCATATGTTATTAACAATCTCATTTTAAAGAAAAGGAAACTGAGGTTCAAAAAGTTTAAGTGGCATTCAGGTGAGATCTGAACTAGGTCTTTCCTGACTCCAAGTTGATTACCCTTATTTACAATTCCATGTTGCCTCTCACCAGCAATCAAAAAGCACTTATTAAGTAAGTAGTGTGGTGCCAGGCGCTGGCACCTGGGACACTGAGAAATGAACCAATTTTCATTCTGTTCTTTTGAAGCACCTCTTGAGTTTCCTAATAAAAGGTTAATCTTGTCAATGATCATAAATATTCAATCATTTAATGCATATTTATTGTGTGCCTTCTATGTGCTACTATGCCTTCTTTACAGAGACGAAAAACCCATAGGTGAAATATTAAGGTAAAAATAAACTAGTAGTGACAAATAACAATTCTGTATGTGAAAATCTGCACATTTTACCACATTCTAAGAACTTCTACAATTAGGTAGTAACTGTGCCTGAGGACCCAAAATTGTACTTTAAGAAGGTTGAAAAGGATGATGGGATTTTAAAAGTGGGCCTTGGAAAAGATTAACTTTCTTTGATTTACTCCATTTTATTCTGTAGTAATAGTAATATAATAGTAATATAATAGCTTACATTTATATAGAGCTTTAAGATATTGCAAAAAAAAAACCCCATACATTATACCATAGTGTGTATTTTTAAAACTTAAATTTGTTCCAACTCAACTTACATTAGGGAACATTTTGAGCATGACTCAAATTTCGAGCTTTCTTCTCAATTTTTTCCTCAAGAAAGTAAGGATGTAGACTGCACCACTTTACAATAACTGACAAACTGCAACCTTTCTGATGCCACTTCCAGAGGCAAACTTTAGGTCTTAGTCAAACTAAAGTGCCATATTTATTTTGTATCTTCCAGTGCAGAGGGAGCTGTGGGTGGAGGAGTTTTAGCCTGCCTCATGTGGACCTGGCAGCAGCTTGAGGCTGCATTTGTGGTCACCTTTTATTGTAGTAGTTATATACTTTGTAACCATTTAACATGTATACAACTGGGCTACCAATTTTTGTTTGGTTCTTATCTTTTTTAAAGTGTCACTGACAAAGTTTCTGAGAACTGTGCCCCTAATTCCACTTTTCCCATAGGCTGTTTTTTATTGTGCATTTTTGCACATTGAGCTATATATGTTCTCTGCATATATTGAGCTATTTGCATAGTGCAGTGCTTTTTGAGTTGGGAACTCATATGTCTTGTTATAGCAGAACTGACTGTAGTTTGATCCTTGTAACAACCCTGTGAAGCAGCTGCTTCTATTACCTCCTTTTCATAGATGAAGAAACTGAGGCTCAGAGAAGCTGTAACTTGACCAGGGTTAAACAACATAGTCAAAAAGGATAAAATCTTCTCTATACTGGTGTTTTCTAGCTTATTCAATAAAACATAATACATTTGTTATCAATTAGGAATTCTTACATTCCTTTTTTTTTTAAACAGGTAGTTTACAGATGGTGCCAGAGAAAACATAAATGTACAACTCTATAAGAAAATATGAAAATCTACACAAATCTACTATTTCATTTTGGTATCAATAATCCTCTGTTGTAGGTAGGGTAGGTGGTCGAATATAATGTTATCCTATGTGACAGATGAGAAACTGAGGTACAGACAAATTCAATGATTCAGACATGGTCAAATAGAGAATGCCAGAGCCTCAACTAGAAACTGAGTCTCCTGACTCCCCAGTTCATGGCTCTTTACATTAGACTAGATATATTAAACCTGGCAGAGGGTGGGCAAAGGTCTGGGTTGTTATCTTCACTCTAAGAGACTGCATCTTATAAAATTGTTCACCATAAGGCTTAATTAATGAACTCCCAAGACTGAAAATTAATGCCTGATTGATTGGATTCTATATAGACAAGATACCCCTCTCAGGATAAACTGATCACTTCTAATCTCACCATTATACTGCTAAGTCAGCCTTGAATCCTCAGACACCGTACCACTTTCCTCAGGCATCCTCTGTCCTCTTCTTGGAGGGCTGAAAAGTGGAGTATTACACTTCCCCCAATGTCTTCTTTTAAAGAGGATGGAAATTGGACTTCTGGCTCATTCTATTCTCTATCTGCAGCTCTGCTTGATTTCAACTACTTCCTGGTGTTTCCACCACCTGACCCCCTTCGTTTTTCATCTTCTCGGTAAGCTCCTAAAGAGTAGAGACTGTTTTTTTCTTATTTTCATCTCCAGCACCTGGGGGCAGCTAGGTGGCATAAAAGATAGCATGCTGGCCTTGGAGTCAGGATGAACCAAGTTCAAATACTGCCTCAGACACTTGTTAGTTGTGTCACCCTTGGTCAAGTCAACATAACCCCTATTTACCTCGGTTCCTCATCTGTAAAATGGAAACATACCGGAGAAAGAAATGGCAAAGTGCTCCAGAATCTTTGCCAAGAAAAAGCCCATGGACAAAGTCCATGCACAGTTGGAAGTAACTGAACAACAAATCCCCAGCACTTAGTACATAGTAGGCACTTGATAAATGTTTACTGAATTGAATTGAATAGACAATTTCTCAGGAATACTGAGAATACTGTATATAGCAAGGAAGGCTTATAAAAATAATTTGTTTGAGAAATAGTTTTGTTTCTTCCTAATTCAAGGCTTATACCTAAAATCTCTAAGTATGTTTAAACAGGACAGCTGAGTTTGAGCCAATCTGACCAGGTGGCTAATAGGTAGTAATGAGGCTAAAATGGCAGCTCTGATTCCTTACAGACCAATTAGCTTTGCATAGACAAAGAAACTCCGCCCCTGGCAACAGGCTGCACCCCTCATCCTTCACCGGAAGTCTGACAAGTGTGTGCCACCAGTGGCAATGATAACTACAGCAGTTATGTAGATGTCTGTAGATTTCTGAGTATAACCCCACCTTCCCACTCAGACAAACAATGCAGAGCTCTGATGATGGGTCAGTGACATCATGTTAGTTAAAAGTGTATTACTTTACTTTTTGAGCAGCATCTATTCCAAGAACAAGTAAGAAATTGTCTTGGCAATGAGATTTACTCCAGAGGCATTTTGAAGTTGATGTGCCATCTTTTTCTTGGAGAATCCTCCACAGTTTTTGGGACTCAGAGCTGAAAAACAAATGCAATCACTTAAATATTATCCAGAAAGCTTTCAGACTAAATTTCTGAAGCAATACCCCAACATAGAAATTACAGCACCCAGGATTTTTTTGTTAGAAGAGACCTTTGAAATCATATAAAGTCCAAACCCTTCATTTTACAAATGGCACAACTGAGACCCAGTGTCTTGTACAAGGGATCACAGATTATAAGTAGCAGTAGTAGGACCAGGATATGAACTCAAGTCTAATGACTCCAAATTCAGCATCCTTTTCACTATACCAAGATGCTAGTTCTAAACGGGTTAAGGGAAGCATCTCATTTTCGTAGCTTTTAGAAAATAGAGTGCTCTACTCATCCACTGGGTGGTTTGCTAAAACATCTAGGGATCAGCTAGCATTTAAAAAAGAAATCACCTGTGCCTGTACAGAATGCTTCCTGCTATTGTAATTTTCCACATTCTACTTTATCACTATCTGACAAAAGGATTAGCCTATAGTTTCCCCATGATGTTGCTCCTGAAAATCCTTTCACAATTATCCCTCCATAGCATCTACTACTTGTTGGAGCTGCCCTTTTAGAAACAACCCAGAATTTAGTTATAAATGCCCACATGAGTTCTGCCTATCTGTGCAAAAAGAATAATGTGAAGGTGATAGAATGATGATGCCACTACCAAGGTACTTCAAAGTCTTTCCTCGTGTTTGCATTCATTCACCCACCCCCTGCTGAGGATACTTTCTGGGCCTGGAGTTTAGCTGTGTACCCAGGAGTTGCTATTACTCTGGTCAGGGCTGGATCTGACCTGAAATGGTATCAGATTTAAAGTGCCTTATGACATTTTGGTAAACAGCTTTAAGATTTTGATCTAGCTTTTCAACAAGCTTATGGGAAATCTGTTCTAGCAGACCAAAGAAAGGGAAAAAAGCCAAGTTAATCTGCCTGGACCTGAACTTGCCCTCTCTGACACCACTTGATCCAACTTTATTGATATTATAAAATCAAATCCACCCTAGTGAAATCTATAACGTTTGTCCTTCTTACCAAATGGTAACATGCATAGGAATAAGCTACAATCTTAGAGAGTTCACCAATGTCACTTAGCATTAACAGGACTTTATGCATCAGATGCAGTACCAGGAGCTTAGATGCGAATAAACTCTCCAAAGGCAAACAAGGTTGATAAAAGTCATTCTGCTAATAAGCATTTTTAGCTCGCTTCCAGGAGTTCTGCCTACAGATAAGATGGCTCTATTTTATGCCACATACTATACAATCAATATGCTATTATTTAGGTACCAATAAAAATAAAATCAACAACAAATATTTATCAAATATCTACTCTGCATAAGTAAGGTCTTAGAACTAGACAACTTATGGTTTAACTAAGACTTTGGGGCTTCCTTTTCCCTATTGTTTTGGGCATTTTGGCCTTTGTATTGTTCCCCAGAACTTCTAATATGAGCAAATAACAGAAGAATAAAAGAAGAAATAAAAGGCAGATTAATTCTTGTTCCCATTAACCCACTGGATAACAGGGCTGGTCACTGAAGACTACTAAATAGAAGGAGCTGTGGGGTAATTGTATTGGTAATTCTTGCTGAATAAATTTCTTAGAACTGAAATGACTTATAGATTTAAACTCTCTACTCTAGCCCTAGCACCAACTGAACTTCTTAAATGGAAGGAAATAATCATCTGCTTCTCTGAACTGAAAAAGGAATAAAGCTCCAAAATAAATTTCAATCTTTTTATAAATTTCATTTTTCTACTTTTCTTGCAAAAAAATACATTGAAGAAGTTAATTAAATGTCTAATTTTAAATTAATTACCAAAATTGCTTCTTTACAGATTTGCAGCTAGTATTTTCTTCATTATGTTTTTCTAGAAAATGGTGTAAGGTGCAAATATCCTCAGTCATTTGTTGTACTGGTACTTCTTGAAAGACAAGCTTAAAAATATTCTCATAGCTGAGATTGGCCTGGAAAAAAAATCAAAAGTCAAACTACAGTATTTTTAGGAAAAACTATGCTAGTGAGATATACACATTATTTCTGCTATCAGCTATTCTCCTAAATTGTAAAATTTTGGTTTTGTAGACACAAAATTATTAAGTATTTTAAGCATCAAAATCCGAGTTATTAGTCTTTTATTAATAAGCTCCAGAGAACCCAGTTCGCCCAATAGAACTCTCCAGTTTAGACTGTGGAGACAACAGAATGGGTTTCCTTTCTCACTTAAAAGTATTATATCTTACACTTTCCCACTTTCTTTCGTTAAAAAGTGAAGGGATGATTGGAAGAGAGGAGAAAGAGAAGAAAGGAGATATTAAAGTCAGTGAAGGGAGTAGAGAAAGCAAAGACCAGGGTGCAATGAAGACGAAGAAAGAGTAGGGAAAAGAGGGAAGGATTAAGTGGCAGAAGGGTCGGAATAAAAAAGGTAAAGAGGAAGAAAGGCTCCACAGGACAAAGGTAAAGAAATACCACTTAAGCTGGACATCAGAAAGTTGGGCAGTTCATGTAGGAACATACTTTGACTTTTTTTTTTTTTTGTGATAATTCATCATTGTTGTCTCCACCCCTATAGGTCAGCCCTACTTTGGCCATCAGGAGGAATACCGAAAATTCCTAATCTCGATGCCTTTTTTCCACAGAGATTTTCAAAGTTGTTGTCAAAGAAAAGAGGGAATTGTAGCGGTTCAATAACCATCCAGCCTGCCGAAGCCGGTAGATTTAAGGATACATCACAAAAGCTCAGAGCATTAAGTGATTTTAACAGGAAATCTCCTCCACTGCATCCCAGACAGGAGTCACCCAATCGCTGTTTGAATACCTCCAATTATCACTTGCGAGGCAATTTGCATCCCCTAGGTTCATAACAATGAACAAAGTTCGAAGCAAAATACCTTACTAGGTGAAGCAGCCGCGGTTTCCCCCATGCAGGGTAAGCTCTCAGTCTGCAGACAGCCACAAGGGGTTGTGACACATCCATTTAGGTCCGCATCACTTCCCCGCGCCCCCGGTGCTGCCCAGCGCTCCAGAATGTCCAGGCTGCTGAAAGTGTCGGACTTGTCCGAAGCCTCGCTGAAGCCTTCAAAGTCCCCCCAGGAGCTGTTGTGCTCCGTGGAGCCCCAGGGGCTGCCGTCCGAGGAGCCGGGTTCCCCCGCAGCGGCCGAGCCCGCAGCGCTTCTGGCTTTGCCCTCCGGCCGGGGCAGGGCAGAGGCGGCTGTTTTCGCCGCCTCCTCGTCGCAGCCCCTGCTCCCGGGTGCGTGAGCCCCCCCGTTCCCCTGGGGGGGCTCGCTGACCGAAGCCCTCTCCGCCGCCTCCACCAGGTCACCGAGCCAGGCCCCTCGGGCATCTCTTGTCTCGGGGCGCTGGTCCTGCATTTTCAGCCAGGAAATCTTCAGGGGAAATTAGAACAACAAAAAACAAAAAACCAACTGGTGCCAGAGAAGCGAGAGTGGCGCCCGTCCCGGGGGCCATTCACTTCTTCCTTCGCCTCGAAGGAAGCAGGCGCCGCCGCCGCGGCTCGGTCGCTACCCAGCTCGGGGAGCTCGGCCTTTCCATCCAGGGACCTGCCCGGGGGCACGCTTCCAGGCTGGGCACGAAGCTGGCAAAGGACACACAGCGGAGTTAGGCCGGGCGGGCAGGGCGACGGGGTGGGGGTGGGGAGGCGGGGCAGGGCAGGAGGTAAGCGGGTGGGGGGGAGGGGAGGAGGAGGCAAGGCGGGGGGGGGGGAACGGGGAGGAGGGAACCCTTTCTCTCGGACTGAAATCTTAACCACTTCAGAGCCCAGAACGAGAATCTCGTCTCGGAGATTGCCTGTGTGCCCTTGGGCAAGTCCTTTCTTCGCCCCAGGGCCTCAGTTTCCCCAACGGTGAGACAAGGGGCTGACGTTCTGCGGTCCTGCGTCGGAGGGAGTTGGGTTTCCCGGGATCTGCTGACCCCAGCTGCCGGCGGGGAAACGCTGGGGAGGGGGAGGAGAAGGGGACCCCCGAAGACCCCCGCGGCGCTGAGACTCCTGGGTCCCGCGCTCCCGCGTCAACGGTCCCCAACGGCCGTTACTAACCGTCGCCGGCTGAGCCGTCGCTCCGGGTCCACCAGCAACCCTGGCCAAGGGAGAGCCGGGCCGGGGAGGGCCGGGCCGGGCCGGGGCGGGCTGGAATGGATGCTTAGCGGGCCGGCCCCGCGCCCGCTGCCCCGGAGATGGAGCGCGGCCGCCCCGCGGACTCCCCGGCCCGGCCGGCTGGCTGTGACAGGCGCTGTCCAGGCTGCGGGTGACGTCACGCCGTCACCCAGCCCCACCGTCAGGGTGGCTGACGTCAGCAAGTCCCTCGGAGGGCGAGGGTGGGGGGGGGCGGGGGGGGGGGGGGGGAAGGGGAATGCGCATGCGGGCAGGTTACGTCTTCTTGGTGCAGCCTCTGTCTCTTCTTCCCTTTCTTCATGTTGTGTTCTCTGGGAAGATCCCATTTTGAGCTGCGAAGCAGCATTTATTTAGCACTTTCAGGACATATATTTAACCCTGTGAGGGAGGTACTATTATCCTAATTATCACAGATGAAGAAACACTAGGAGAGGTTAAGTGACTTGCCCGGGGATCACACAACTATTAAAAGTCTGAGGCAAAATTCGAACTCAGGGGCTTCCTTATATCTTTTTTTAATTATTTTTTTTTTTTGGTGAGGCAATCGGGGTTAAGTGACTTGCCCAAGGTCACACAGTTAGTATGTGTCAAGTGTTTGGTCTGAGGCTGGATTTTAACTCAGGTCTTCCTAACTTCAGGGCTGGTGCTCTATCCACTGTGACACCTAGCTGCCCCGCTCATGTCTTTTCTGCTACAAAGAGAATTTATGAACGTGGTTAATTAGCCAACAGGTATTAATCACTGACAAAAATAAAACATTTCCTTCCCCCAAGCAGCTTATATTCCATCAGGAGAAACTCTTATCTATAAACACACATGTACACATATACACATATGTATGTACATATATATGTGTGTATATATTTATACACACTCATATACATACACATAGGTATATAAAACATAAAATAAGTATTGCCTATTGGTCGTCTGGAACTGGATTTCCAATAGATACATCTTAAACTTAACATGTTTAGACCTGAAATTATTATCTTACTCCTTAAACTCTTTCCTCTTCCCAACTTCCCTGTTAGGGTAGGGGAGATCACTGTACTTCCAATCAACCAGGATTGAAATTAAGGCGTCATCCTTGACTCCTCGATCCCCCCCCCCAAATCCAATCTATTGCTTTCTCCTTGATATTTCTTGTATATCCCTCCTTTTTTCTTCTGACATGGTCACCATCTTGATGCAGGCCTGCGTCACTTTACGTTTGTACATTTGCAGTAGCCTGCTGGTTGGTCTCCCTGCCTCAAGTCTCTCTCCACCTCAGTCCATTTTTCCACTCAGCTGTCAAATTGGTCTTCCTAAAGCTTAGGTCTAACCATATCCTCCCTTTAATCATAAACTTCAATGGGTCTCTATCATCTCTAGGAACAAATATAAAATCCTGTTTGGTTTTTAAAGCACTTTATAACCTGGACCCTTCTTACCTTTTAAGGCTTCTTACATTATATTCTTCCCCATGTTTTTTGTAATAGAGGTATCAAAGCACAGGTTTCTTGTTCTTTGTCACAGAAGAGGACCAATGATGTCACAAGGGTGATATCTTGACTTGGTGGCAAATTGGATTTAAGTGAGGCAAAGCTTTGCAAAGTCTTCAGTCTCCGATCTTCTCCAGAATCATCCAGCGGCAAGACAAAAGTCAAGACAACCGGTGATGGCACAGGATACAGTGGGTGACTTTGGCCTTTCTAAATTAAGGTCTTTTCCAGGTCTCAGTTTGTCTGAGGCAATGCCCATTCAATGACTAAGGGCTAAGTAAGAATTGAGACAAAAGATGGCCCAATATACCAACACAAAACTATCAGTTTTGGAAGGAAAGACCCTTAGAATTTCAGCCTAGAACAGAAAAAATTGCTATTTACAGTCATTCTAAGCCATCACCCTAAACAATGAACCTCAAAAGCTTGGGTTGGGCGCTATTATTGGCCATTCAATGAAATCCAGAGTGATTTAGGTTTAAAGGGTAGCTCCATTTGAAACACAATGGGCTTGTTTAAAGCCTATTTTTTCAGAGCTATATTTCAAGAAATCATAAATGCAAACTGAGCAGGACAAAAAGTAGATCGTAGCTTAGATCCTCATTTACTGTCTAGTGGCCCACTACACTGGCCACCCCACTCAGTGCCTTTTCACTGACTATGGGATGCTCTTCTTCTGAAATTCCACCTTCTGGTTTCCTTCAGGATGTCAGGATCCCCGTGCCAAGACCACCCTTTTCTTTTCACTCCTCTCTTTTTACTATTAGGAGACATCTTGTTTCCCAGACCTAAGGCCCAACAAGATAGCTGAGCTTTCTTTTTTTTTTTTTTGAGCTTGGCGTAACAACAATCCTTTGTACTGACCCCTCGGCTGAACTCTGCTGCAACTAAATCACAGAACTGACTGTATCTGAGCTCAGGCAAGCACCAGCAGGCCCGCTATGAACACACTTTTTGTCACTAGGCAACCTTGCCTCACTGTTGCTGTTGTGCCTCACCACTGTTGCTACACCTCACTGTTGATTCTTTGTCTAGCCACAACTATATGTATCAACACTCAACCTTTCAGCAGGGGGTCTCCTCTTAGAGGAGACCCCAGCACATGTATCTAGTTCCATCTTCCAATGGAATAAAGAAAATTTTTTGCCTATAACCACTGTTAACTCTTTGTTTTTTTATTTTATTTTTCAGAATTAACAGTTGGGGTATTACCTTTGGGGGCTCTTTGGTATTTTTCAGAGTTAACAGAGGTTGGTTGAGTAATCTCTGTGACTCATTGGTCATTTATTTTCATAGTTTGACAAAGACTAAACTCATCCCACTTTCTGCCAGAGTTCTGGGTCCCCCCCCCCAACCCCCCATTGCTAATGCTTTCCTTCTGAGATTACCTCCCACTTACCCTGTATATATATCTTGTATGGACATAGTTGTTTGTATGTTGGCTTCTTCTTTAGAATGTTGGCTTCTTCTTTAGAATGTTGGCTTCTTGAAGGCAGGGACTATTTTTGTCTTTCTTTGTATCCTTAGCACTTATCTCAGTGCCTCCTACATAGACTTAATAAATTTGGGTTGACTAAGTACAAAATCACTTGGGGGGAGGGGTGTGGGGGAGTTTGTTGCAGGAGGGAACTAACAGCTGGGAGGGATCAACCAGGAAACTTCAAACCTCTGCTAAGTATCAGGTACCAAGCTAGCTATTAGGGATGCAAGGTGAAACAGTTCCTGCCCTCAAGGAACTTCTAATTCTAATGGCGAATCCAAAGGTCAGTCAGTTAATAAATATTTTATCTATTATGTGCCAGGATTGTACCAAGCACTAGGGATATAAAGGAAAGCAAAAGACAGTCCCTATTCTCAAGGAGTTGGCGGTCTAAGGGGGAAGTCAACATGCAAACAACTATATACAAACAAAGTAGGTGTGTGTGTCTGTGTCTGTGTCTGTGTGTGTACTAGCACACATATATTCAAGATAAATTGGAGATAATCAACTGAGGAGAGGAACTATAATTAAGGAGGATTAGGGGAAGCTTCCTGTAGAAGGTGTTGTTGAACGAGGGATTTTTTTTTTAACTTTCTCTTTGTTTTATTATTGTTATTAATTTATTTTTAGTTTTCAACATTCATTTCCATAAGAATTTGAGTTTTAAATTTTCTCCCACTCCCTTGGCAGGACAGCATGCAATCTGATGTAGGTTCTACATATACATTGATATTAAACATTTTCACATTAGTTATGTTGTAAAGAAGAATTAGAACCAATGGGAGGAACCAGGAGAAAGAAAACAAAACAAAACGAAACAACACTAAAAAGAGAGCAAATAGTATTCTTCCATCTGCATTCAGACTAAAGTTCTTTCTCTGGATGTGGATAACATTTTCCCTCTTGAGTCTTTTGGAGTTGCCTTAGATGAAAGATGATTTCTTTCAGAGCTAAGAATGATCTGTCTAAAGTTGACATAATTTAACTCCATTTTGTCCTGTATTTGTCAGGCTTCCTCTTTCTTTCTTTTTTCTTTCCTTTTTCCCTCCTCCCTTCTTTCTCTCTTTCTCTGTCTCTCCCTCCTTCCCTCCTTCCCCCTTCCTTCCTTTCCTTTCCTTTCTTCTTTCTTTCTCTCTCTCCCTCCCTCCCTTCCTTGTCTTTTCCTCTTTCCCTCTCTCCCTTGTCTTTTCCTCCTTCCCTCCATCCCTCTTCCTTCCTTCCTTCCCTCCTTCCCTCCCTCTCTTCTTTCTTTCTTTTTTCTTTCTTTCTTTCTTTCTTTCTTTCTTTCTTTCTTTCTTTCTTT